AGGATAGAGAGTAGAAAAGAGAGTGAACAAAAGAAAGAGAGAGAGAGAGAGAGAGAGAGAGAGCCAGACCAGTTACTAAAGCTGACTTCTCACTTTTTTTCTTTTTTTTGACAGCTTCAACATAGTGTGGTAGATCTGATTTCCTTTACTGTGTGTGGGGGGAAAGTTGCTGATGGAGCTCCTCCTTTGTTGCATTTCTGACTTTGGTCAATTAAAGGAGCAATAACCCATATCTAGGCAACAAAGAGGAAGGTTGAGGGGAGGTGCAGCAAAACGGCACTCACAAAATCAATAATAAACCCGTGAAAGAGTTTGAAGTCTGTGTGTGTTTATTTTAAGTTCATTTAACTTCATGTGAAAAACACTTAGCAAAGTTGAACGCGCTAACGATAGCGTGGCAAGAAAAATCTACCATGTGCAAAAAGTGAGTGTTGTTTTGTCATTATGAATATTTTGGTTGTACCTGTCACATTTAGTTGATTTTTTTTTTTTTTTTTTTAGGGAAATAGCTTTTGTTCTTTACCAGAATTGTTGTTGCATAATTTTAAAGTGCGAGGAAAGCAATGCGTAGTTTTCATGAGGGTTTTTACAGTAAATGTCTAAGTATCACTTTAACTTTCATCGGATTTCCCCAAATGAAATCTAGTTCAACAAAAGCTGCCTAGTCACCTAATTATTAAATAGAGTCCCTAATTTAGTCTTAGTGTAAACACAGCTGCTCTGTCGAAGTTTAGATCAGAGGTCTGCAAAATAAAACTAAATAAAACATTAGACTTATTCATGTTACATAATTATGAAAAAAAATTATACTACTAAAGAAATTTTGTTTTTATGTTTAAAGAACCATCATTTTATTTATGTTTTTAGAATTTAAAACAGAGGCAACATTTTTTTTTTTTTTTTTGCAATTAAGGGAATGGATAAATTTTTCTTTTAGGGTTGATTTTTTTAAAAAATGCTGCAAAAAATTCTGTATTTTATTTATTTAAATACACTGAACATCTGTACGCTTTGAGCTCTTCAAATTGAAGTCCTTTTTTTTGGGCACACAATGTTGCTATAAATAAAGCTGATTTCTGATTGTGAAAACCTACAAAGTTTCAAACCTGATGACAGGATTTTAAAAAAAGTATTACAGGTTATTTTAGAGTCTTTCTGTTGTGACATTTACTGCAATTTTTCATTCAAAAACTGAAAAATTGTGTAACCCCGCATTTATATTTAGAAACAGTCGGTTCTATAACACTTTTTGCCAAAGATTTCGAGAGCACGGCAGTGGCAGCAACATGCTGTGGGGAGTATTTTCCGAGACATTAGTGAGACAGGTCAATGCTTTGATCCAGAAAGTTTTAATCGCCTAGTTGAAGTTCGGACCTAAATCCAAATGAGAAATCTGCGGGTCTGAAACTTGCTTTTTATTTGTAAAACGTTTAGAAAGCTGTGTAACAATATCCTTCCACTTCACAGTTTTCCACTACTTTGTGTTGATCTATCTCAGAAAAAAACCCTCTAAAATACATCAAGGGCAGCGGTTGTGAAATGAAAAAATGGGGGGAAAGTGGAAGCGGTATCAAAACCTATGCAAGGCGTTGTTGGGAAATGTTCAGAATGGAAACAGGAAAAGAGGCTTTTTTTTTAAGTTAGCCATCTAAACCAGGGCAAATAGGGAAAACTAATTCAAATCTCTCTGTATGTGTGTGTGCGTGTGTCTGCTTTTTCAGCTGGCTCTGCAGTCACGGCTCTGCGACCGAACGCGAATCGGAGAGTACTACCCCGGGGCGGTGCGCTACACACAGGCAGACCTTATCGACCCGAGCGATGACGACGACGACGACACCAACGTGCTCTTCTACTCGCCTGACATGACCCTGAAAGATCGAGGTCCTTGAGAGAGACGAAGAAGGGAGACAAAAGAGCTGGAGGGAAGACGCACAAAGGAGGGTCAGAGCCAGAGAGAACCGCGCCAGATTAGAAACTGAGAGGGGGAAAAAAGAAAAAGGAAAAAGAAAAAAAAAAACGAGGTAGGGAGGGAATGGAAGAGAAGATTGTGGGGACGGTCAGGCAGATAGAAGCCGGAGATGAGCTGTCAGGTTCCATTATTAATCCCCATCCTTTACTATTTAATATCCTTAAGACACCCTCCACACACACACAGAGCAGAGCTCCATTTCTGTGCAACACGACTATCTGAGAGCTCTAAAGATCAGCCTAATGTTAAAGGCATCTGCTGCATCCCAAAAGGACTCCGGAAAGATTTACCTCCCCGAACCCTCTGTTTTCCACCGCATTCTGCAGCATTTTAGCATGCCAGAACAAAAAAGACAAGGGGGGGGAAAAAAAAAAAAAAGAAGGAAAAAAAAAAACACGAGGCACTGCTGAAAGGCAATCATAACAAGGTGCTTCTTAAGCACTCGCAGCAATCACCTTTTCAGTTCCCCACAGGAGATGAGTTGAAAGGCAGGCCTTTAAAAATCACCCTGTGTGTCAGCGTCTCACTCTGCCATTAGATTGATCCCGGTACTACATAATTTTCCTGCCAATAAGGGGAAGGTGGGTGTACAGTGGAAATACAAAAAGAAAAAGACGGGGAGGTGGGATGGGGCGTGGAGGAGGGGGGGGTTAAAAACAGTCGAAGTGAGTCAGAATTGGGGGAAAAACAAGTCCTGAAGCACCGGGCTCTCTCCTCAGACAGTATTAGCTTTCAGGCTGTCGCGTTGCAAGTTCTGCACAAGTGTTCCTTTGAGTTTGTATTTTTGATGAAATGCTAAACTTTTGATATACTGTATTTATTACAAATCGACGTACTGTATATGTTTGAATGCATCTATTTTTGTACTCTTGTCTTCTTCTGAAATCAAAGCCTTATCTCTGTTAGTCAATTCAACATGCTCAAAAGTTTACCTACACGCGTCGTGGGCATGACGTTCATGTTGATTCCAGGCTTTTGATGATTTCTTCAAATAAACATCCCACTTGTATTTGGTTGAATGTTCTTGAGCAAGTTGCAGTAAAACCAGGAACAAGCTGGCAGCGTAACTTGATCTGGATATTTGACCGCTCTTCTTATCAGAAACTGTGGAGCTCATTTGAATTAGTTAATATCCTGGCACAGACTTTGCTTTAAAATATTTTTTAACAGGCTTAGTGTCCGAGAAGCTTAATGTTGGCCAGAGTCAAACACCTACTCGGTTACAACCAAGAACAAATAAAGGTGAGGTTTTCAAATTGCAAAATTATACATCAATGGCATGCTGAGGGTCTTTCTTTGCTGCCGTAGGCACTGGCATATTGCACACAAATGACTGAGAGGATATAAATGAAGGAGTCACTTCAAAATCATCTTAAATAGTTAGATGGTTGAAATTTGGACTCAATTGGTTCGGAGCGAATGGACAAACACGGCTAACGTTAAGGTTCTGGAATACCCTCAACTTTAACCCCTGTAAAAGGTTTATACATTAAAAAAAAAAAACGTGTGTCTGTTACAGGAAAACAAAAATATTCAACAGAGCACAACTAAGTCTGACAAGAACGGCGGTCAAAGATCCGTCCAGAATTATAGCAGAGGCTTGTTAATGTGTGTGATTTCTCCGCTGAAGGTATATACATTTCACCTGATGTGCATATATATATATATATATATATATATATATATATATATATATATAAAATTTTGAACCTTTGTGAATTCCAAAAATTCTCCATTTAAATTCTAATTATCCATATTTCACATTGTAAAAACCTTCCACCTGGAGGGGGAAAAAAAGATGCAAAAGCGTCCCAAAGTAATGCCATCCATGCCGATGAGTGTATGCAAACTTTCGACCAGCGTTACGCACGCTCGTGTTTGTTTCTAGGGTCGCAACGCATCAGCAAGAGGTGACACACCAGACACCTGCTGCCTTTGTCAGCTGAGCCTGCAGAGCCGCGGTGTGATTGGCAGGATAATGGAGCCAATTTATATTCAAACACAGCCCATTTGCCAATATCTGGGTGATCTCATTATTATCTGTGTAGTCTGCCGACAGTCGGCTGCCTTTTCTTAGAAGTTTGAGATGATAAACTGTCACTGGAGTTTCTGAACTTTTCTGCTGAGCGTTTGCACCACTCACAACGTGGCCCCCCGCCCCCATGTTTCTCTAAACAGTTACGTTGGTTTTTGCTTGACTATCACACACTCAAATAAATAAGCAGAAGAGACATTTCAAAACCAAACTGAGACTGGATGTGTTTATTTCATGTTTTACATGGATGCCATTCTTCACTTCCAGTCAAATTTCACTGGTTGACTACAACGCCTTGCAAAGCCTCCATGCTCCTTGAACTTTGTTTTTTTTTTTGTCATATCACAACTACAAACCTCAATCAGATTTTATGTGAAGTGCGCAGGGACATCGATTTTCAAGGTGTGGAGTTTGACTGGGCCGCTCCATTGCAGCTCTGACCGTTTGCTTATCTTTGTTGTCTCAGCTGAAGAAAAGCATCCCCACAACATGATGCTGCCACCTCTATGTGATTGTTTTTAGTGTTTAGCATGTAGTTCAGCTTTGGTGTCATCGTTAAACATCTTTGTCGTTGGCCTGTCTTCATGTTTACCTCTAAGCAGAGGTACTGAGTAGCTACAACGGTTTTTTACACACATATGAATTACTGGACTGGATTTTATTTAGGGGTATCAGAATTACGAAAGCTGGAAAAATACACTAAACCTTTATCTACAACCCTTTGCAGGTTTTCTTCCAGTTTTGCTCTGATCAGCTTCCACACTGATTCATTAAACCTTCATTAAGCTTTTAGCTTCCCTTTGGGATTGATGAAGTATTTCTGAATTGAATTTCATCTCAACGATAAAGAAATTCGTCCCCACAGCATGATGCCGCCACCATCATGTCTTACAGTGGGCATGGATGTTGAGCTTTGATGCTTAGTTTTATGCCACATATTTTGCATATAACGTAAAAGGCGCGGATTTCATCTGTATTAAATGTAGCATTCAAAGACGTGCTGCATTTTTCAAATTTGTATTCGAAGATGGAAACCAGGCACACACTGTGAAATTTGTGGCTCGAGGGCGCTATGTCTCCCGTGTGCGCGCGCGTGTGTGCGCTTGAAGACATCTTTTAGGACCGAGGCTGGCTGCTTAAATATTGGACATTAATTATGAGTGGGACCCGACTGGCCCGCGAGTGTCTCCATATATGGCTAACAGGATTTTGATTAATGGAAAATGTGCGCCATGTCCTCCAGGAAAAAAGAAAAAAAAGAAAAAAAAACTGGTTTTTACCTCCACGCGCAGCACACACGGAGTTCTTCCTGAGCATGTCGATCCCACCTCCCCACAAACCCCCCATGTATATACAGATCACGTGAAATAAGCGAATCTCGCTGTCACGCAGGAGGAATTATTATTCCCCCTCCCCCCCCCCTCCTGTCTTAACGTCGCATGCGCCGTAATTGGATACAATTTAACACCAGCGGCCCACGGGCATGTCGGCAGGCGCGCTGCCTACTATTAGCTCGCCTCGCCTCGCCACCCTATCATTTGTCAGATCTGTGTTTGTGTGCTCCACGGAGCCGGCCTGCCCTTAATGTGTGAGCGCGCGTGCGTTATGTTGGCGTGTGTGTTCGCGCGCGCGTGCGCTCGTATAGCTCCAGAAACCGGAGCCATTGTTGGACTCCGGCCATGACCTAGCTGTGACGCACAGACACGGAGAGAAGAGGCGACAGCAGCAGCAGCGGCGGTCCGGACACTGAAAAACAAGCCGGAGCTCAGTCACCTCCGAGCGGGGAGAGAGAGAGAGAGAGAGGGGGAGAGAGAGAGAGAGAGAGGGGGGGGGGGGGGGGCCTCCTCTGCGCTGCTTCCACCGACAGCCCCGCAGTATATTTACAGGCAGGGTGGTGGTGGGGGAGGGTAAACCCCATCTTACCCCTTCTAAACCTGCCTCCCTTCCGTTGTTGCCAGGATAAAAGCAGGCCCGACTCGGTAGCCATAGTAGTTCAATGCGTCCTAGGTTGTTGCTTATAAAATATTCAAAATACGTTTAATATTGACTGGAAAGCATTTAAAAGTTTCAACTATTAAATATTCAATCTGTTCCCTTTTATATTGTTTAAAGGGGGCGGGGCAGTTAAAATGCTTCTTTTAGTCACACAGATTTCGGGAAACTAGCGTTATTAGCTTTTTGGAGCTTTCTATACCCGGAACGCTGCCATCTGTAACCGACAACAAACACAGCACAACACCAAACGCAGCATCTCGACATATGGTGGTGGCAGCGTCATGCCGTGGGGACGCCGTTCAATGCTGATGGGGAGAAAACCGGATGGAGCTGAATAAAAGGTCACAAAAGGCAGACGAAAACCCGAAAGAGGCTCTAAAAGAATGGTGACCGCGGCCGGAAAGACCAAACCTGCAAAAGAGCGAATCGGGGTGAAATGACCAGCATTCATTCCGCCCCACGTAGCAGCAGGAACTCTTTAAACTCCCGTTTTATTCCATCATTACTTGTTCGTGGCTCTCTGGCGTCGTTTCATCGCCGCTTTGGCAGCTAATTCGTGTTGATTAAAGCTTAGCGGTAGCTGTTTGCCTTAATGGGCATGTAGAACACGATGATGACCATTAATTTAAACTATGTGCTTTCATTTCATACGCGACTTAAACACTTGCACATTTCTCCTTCTCTTTCCGTTCTGACGGTGACCTTGAGTTTTGTGTTGTGCTGCAATCAGCGGGACTCCACATTCCGAGTTAGGATGAGTGGTGAAACATCGGTTCCCAAGTAGCAGCTAAAAGATTTCCGTGCAAAAAAAAAAAAAAAAACATCAGGAACAGTCTATTCGTTTTGCGAGGAAAAGGAAACGGCAGTGAATTATGGCGCCTTTGTCTGGCGGATGCTACCTGTTGAAGGACAGAACACGCTGCTGCTTTACACCTCATTAAATCTAAGTTTAAATCATTGCAAAATATGGATCACATATGGAAAATCTGTTCTGTTTTTTTGTTTTTTGTCAGCTGAACCGATCCTGAAAAGGACAGCGTGGCCTTTTCCTTTTCTTGCGCACAATTAATATTTCGGAATATTTCAACTAAATATACTCGGACTATGAAACTAAAAGCCGACAAACGTCCGCGCACGTGTGTGGAATAATGCCCCCGTCCCTTTCCCCAAATTTCCAGGCGCAGGCTTTCAGCGTGCGTCGTGTTTTTCTGTCCCTGTATTTCCCCAGCGCGGCTGTTTTTCTGCCAGAGCGCAGCAGCGCAGCGGCTCTTTCAGCGCTCCGATCCGCCCCCGAAAGGGTTAAATTAATCTCTTTCTCTAGCTAGCCTCTCTCCCAACACATACACAGACACACACACAGACACACAGCCTGCCACCGCCCCAGATAACAGAGGGGCGCCTCTCCCCAGCCAGCCAGCCTCCGCTAATCGCAGTGGCAGGAGGGGGGGGGGGGGAGACAGGGGGGAGTGGAGTGCCGGCGGCCTCTCACAGCGCTGGGCTTTTTATTGACGCTGCCTGCATGTGTGTGTCATTGCAGCGAGTGTGTGTGTGTGTGTGTGTGTGTGTGTGTGTGTGTGGTGGGGCGCATGCTTGTGTGTGCGTGGCGGAGCGAGAGAAGCTATAAAGAGGTGTGTGTGTGTGTGTATGTGTGTCTGTGTCTGTGTGCGCGCGCGCGCGCGCGCGTGTCCCTCTCTCTGTCTGGTGTGTCTGCGTGTGTGTGTGTGTGTGTGTGTGTGTGTGTGTGTGTGTGTGTGTGTGTGTGTGTGTGTGCGCTTCCCTGCCAGCAGCGGAAAGCAGGGAGAGGCGGGGAAGTGGGAGGGTGGGTGGCGAGGTTATGAGCGGAACTCGACAGAGGCCGACAGACGAGAGAGAAGGAGGGGAAAGAGGTGGAGGAGGGGGGG